CTGACTGGCGCCCCGCGGCGGCCGTGTGCAGGGGAGGCCAGGTGACTTACTTGCGAGTGTCCGCCAAGCACCATCTGGTCACCACTCAGCGCGCCTGTGTGCAGCCATGTGCGGAAGAGGCGCCGACAAGATCTTCCGGCTGCAGCCCAGCGCCAGTGGGCTGGGAGGACAGGCACATGTGCGCTAGCATGCTCAGGAGGCCCTGGGACGAGAACCCAGGACCTCTCCCATGTGGGTCCAGCAACACTGCCGCCATGCCACCTGGCCTCTGTGGCAATCTTTCCATCTGCGCACTCGCAACATCTGCGTGTCACCGTGACACGGTGGGTGTGTGAGGGCCCGAAGGCTGTCCCAGACTGTGTGTGCCCGAGCGGGGTGTGTGCCTGCGGGGGGTGTGCCTGGGGGGGCTTGTGGACCTGGGCCGCGTGTAACTGGGCTGTGTGGACCTGGGCTGTGTGTACCTGGGCTGCATGTACCTGGTGTGTGTGTACCTGGGCTGTGTGTACCTGGTATGTGTATACCTGGGCTGTGTGTACCTGGTATGTGTATACCTGGGCTGCGTGTACCTGGTGTGTGTGTACCTGGGCTGTGTGTACCTGGCGTGTGTGTACCTGGGCTGTGTGTACCTGGCCTGTGTGTACCTGGGCCGTGTGTAACTGGGCTGTGTGTACCTGGGCTGTGTGTACCTGGCCTGTGTGTACCTGGGCCGCGTGTAACTGGGCTGTGTGTACCTGGGCTGCGTGTACCTGGTGTGTGTGTACCTGGTGTGTGTGTGTACCTGGACTGCGTGCATCTGGTGTGTGTGTACCTGGTGTGTGCGTGTACCTGGCGTGTGTGCACCTGGTGTGTGTGTACCTGGCGTGTGTGTGCCTGGGTTGCGTGTACCTGGTGTGTGTGTACCTGGGCTGTGTGTACCTGGTGTGTGTGTACCTGGCCTGTGTGTACCTGGTGTGTGTGTGTGTGTACCTGGGCTGTGTGTACCTGGTGTGTGTGTCTGAGCGAGTGTGTGTCTGGGG